TGTGGATCAATTACCGGAGCGGCAATGCTGCTGCGTGCTGCTGCTCGGCTCAGTGTGGGCAAGAATGAGGACATCATTTATACCTTTGCGGACGTTTTCTGAAGGCGTTTAGTAAACTACATTTCTCATTGTGCTTGACGAGAAACTGTTGTGCAACATAACCTTTCCTGACATCTGAAAACTCACTGATCCCTATTACATCTCATTTATCACCCTCTAGCTCCTCGAACAGTACAGCTAGACTTGCCGCACTAGATAAGATTCTAGCGTTAAACGTTGCCAAGTTCAGGCTTTTATGGTGGCCTGCCCCGACCCAGAGATTCTTAGCACCCTCTGCTGCATTGGAGATGTGACCGCCGTCGTGGTTAACTGCTTCGCAGCCGGTGGGAATTGAGGGCTATATGTTATTTGATGTATGCCTGTGGGAGGTAGTGGCTAGATACTGCACAAGCGAGGCCAAACCTTCTCTGTTGAGGTAGTGCGATGCGGGCGGTGGTCACCGGTGAGGTCGCACCCCAGGCTTCTAATGCAATTCTATCAACACAAGGATATTTTTAAAATCCATTTGGGAACTACGCAGCACCGGCATTCGAGCCACGGTCCTTTTGCACGCGAGGCTGATACTCTTGCCTCTACGCCATCGCTGCTTCACAACATAACACATTTAGTATAAACACACGGCACTCTAGCTGTATATGCGAAAATGTACAAAAATAGTAATAACTATCAAATTAAACATATAAACAAATCTCTTTAGAGACTAAAGTGTCCTAAATATTGTCAGACATATCTGCGACCTTTGTACTTCTCATGGTGCTTTTAGTCACCTTAATTGCCCTAACTGATACGCTCCTCGTCAATGTCTTGACCAGTCATGTCGGGTCCCAGTCTCGACGTTCTCTGCGATCATCGTCGTGCGTGCCACTGCCGACGTAGTAACACATCGTAGTCGTCGCCCGATGTCGGTGCTGACCTGGCGGCGACCCCCTATGTTAGGCGTAATGGTGGCAGGCGATACCAGGTGCTGCACGCTGGCGCGGCCACCCGCGTACTGTCTTTGGCGGCTTGCTTTAATAGGGCTTGCGCCAGGAACGTCAGCGCTTGTTGCGCATGGTTGCTGCAGCCTGCCTTGGAGAAGATTCAGATCTTCATCTACTTCCCGGGACGTTTACATCACAGGTTCCCGAGTCGATATCCTGCCGCTTCCGCTGCCAATGCGTTTGCTGGTGGTGCGACCTTCTTCTTTCAAGCCCACTTCGACAATGCCAGTGCATCGTTACTCGCGTCGCAATCAGAGGTCGGGACAAGCGCATCGTGCTTCACTTTTCGGTGCACGCGCTCGCGCAGTGCCAACCGTTCTCTAAACTTCGGTGTCGCCTTTTTTTAAATGCGAATACATTTCTTATTCGGGCTATGTTAGGCATCCGACGTTGTCCTCAACGGCGTCCGCGCACCGGCAGGTGTTATCTCTCCGCCAACACTCCTCTCACGTTGCAACTGCGGCGGGCACACGCGCTTATTCTCGCCTCTAGCAGCTGAAGCGTTTGGTGCGAGAGAGTGTAGGAAAGCGTAGGTGCAGTAGTTCACCCCTTCTTCTTTCTCTGTTCGCGCACCATACTCCCATGTGCTCACGCTTCTTCACTCTACCGTTCCTGGCTGTGCCTCACAAAACATGCGGAAATGTGTGCTCGAGACGCCGCTGTGAAACGCCAACGCCGAGCGGGGAATGCAGTACCCCACTCTCTCAACCGCTTGCTCCTCACACTAGCGCGTTCACTGGCTGGGCGCTTCTCTAGGAGATGACAGAAGTTAGTGAAGGCGAACTTCTGACGGCAACGGTACCCTCTCTCGACTAAAAAAATGCATTCACATTTCCTCACGATTCCTCTCGCAGAGGTGGGGGCATTGTTTTTTTTTCTCTGAAGGTCTCAAGACACTGGGTCCCCAAGCTACGCTGCGTAGGTTCCCCTTGCATTCGGAGGATCAGCAGAGTTTCAAAACTGGGTAAAATGCAGGCAGCGTTGGATGGAAAGCTGGGTAGATAGATGTAACCGGCTGTGCCCTTTAGATCGGGTGGCGGCTCACGCCACCTAGTCATAAAGTCAAGTGCTATCCCTATGTGTTGAAGGAATTGAATTTCACTCAACTTTTTGTAGCCACCAATCAGTTAGCCTCCTTCTGGTCACTTCTAACTGTTAAGAGTCTATGTTGCCTTCACTGTCCCTAAACCTCAATGCTTTGAAAATTTTCGCGTCATTATCTTACACTAAAGGGTGGAGCCCAATAAACGCTATCAAATGTTCAGCCATTTCCTTCTCTTTCCCACACGCACTATATAACGTGTCTGTGCCTTCTTATTTAGCTCGGTACGTCTTGGACCACAATACTCCCGTTCTGGTCTTGAAGAGCAGAGAACTACCCCGAGAATTGTCTCTTTTTTGCAATTTCCTGCTTGAAAGCTTGATAAGTCACCGGCATGGGCGTTGGTGTCAATGTCATGCCCCGTATAAGTATGCGTATCTATATAGATAAAAACGCAAGAAAGAAACAAATCTCGAAAAAGGACACCGGCACGCGAAATCGAACGTGGGACCTCCGCGTTGTAAACGCGAGGCGTTAGCCACTGAGCTATCTAGGGGTATCTCTGTCAAGGTTCAAACGGCAAGCTCGTTATACCTACAACTTACGCTGTTGGCGGGCATCTCAGGGGGGGGGGGGGAGGGACTGTCGTGTTTCCAGCATTATGAGCAAGATGGCGCAAAGAGCGCGCGGCGGCTCTTATTTCTCACGCGTACTTTGGCTCGCGGAGAGGAAGGGAATGGACAATCTCTCGAGCGCCCTTACCTCCCGATGGAGAGGACCATATGTCTTGGCTGGCGGGGGGCTTGACTGGAACGATTCTGTTGTAGTTAGGGGCGCACAAAGGTCACTGCGATTGCTGCACAGCCTCCGTTTGCGAAAAGGGTGCGCTTTTCAGACACAGCGAAATGACTACTCAGACGCTTATTCGCATTCATCTGTACCTGTAAGTACGTTTCGTGCGTCATTTGAACGTGAGGAACACGCAAGGCACGTTTTGATCTGCTCACCATTCTGAGCATCACCTTCCAATATGTTGCTATCGCGTTCATTGCTCCGCCTTTGCGGCAAAACTGTGACTTTTTCAGTGCATCTGGATGCCCGTTATCCTTATTTATTCCGTATCTTTCGTACTCCCTTAGGTACTCAGCCGCACTACTTATCCATACGCCCCAATATTTGTATTTATCCACAATTTGTAGCGTGAATTTCCGTTTCTTATGCTCACTGCCTTCTTTATCATCAAAAATAATGATTGCTGACTTTTACCCACTGAACTTCAAATTCAACCTATCTCCTTCATTACCGTAGATTTCTATCAATCCCTGCAGATCTTCCTTGTCGTCTAATAATACTATATCATCTGCATGATTCAATGCTGGTAATGACTGTTAAATTAGTTTTCCTTGGTAAGCAAAAGAAGGCAGAAGCCAGGCCGACTTCCCTCTAATTTGGCTTCTAGTCCCTGTAGATACAGCACAAGTAAGAAAGCCCGCGCTGTATCTCTATAGGTTTGAACACCTGCTCTTTTCATTTTATAACTGTATATATATAGTTTAGAAGATTTGTTAATACATCTTCCACATCTAGTGTGTCTAGTATTCCCCACAAGTCTTCTTGAATCACACTATCGTAAGCTCTTTTCATATCTAGAAATGCCAGCCACAGGAACCTGAGTTCTTTTCCCGCTATTTCAATACACTGCATCAATGAAAACATATCTTCCTCTAACCTCCTTTGTTTACGCAATCATTTTCTAATTCTCCCAGCACCCCCTCACTCTCTACTCATGTCTGTAGTCTATCCTTTATTATCTGCATAACAAACCTGTGAACTAGTGATGTCACTATTATAGAACGCAGTTGTTTATATCAGATTTGTCCCCTTTTCCTTTATATATCATGCTCATTCCTGCTTAGTTTCCACCCATTAGGTTCTTCACCATCCATTATTGGTATGCTCGCTGCCTCTCTTAATGTTTGCTTAGAGTTTGGCCTAAGTGTCTTTATTAGCATGATTAAGATGCCGTCAGGGCCTGTTGATGTGCTATTACGAACTCTTTTCTCCGCCCTTTCCCACTATCGTTGTCCCAGTGGAGCCACTGTGCTAATTTGAATATCCTCATCCGGTATGGTGCATCCGACCCTTTTTTGGTGTTTAAAGTTTTATGTCATCATTGTTCTTATATTTCTATTGCCTCGACCTCTTCTGACCCAACCACTTCAGCTGTAATTATAAACCTCTGTTCCATGCTTGTCTTATTACTCAGAGAATTACTCATACGCACGGGGTGCCACCCATGGCCAAATAAGAAGTATGCGAGACGCGGGCTATTCGGCACCATGGCGCTCGGTGCGTCTGCTTCGTCTCGCTGGTGACCCCTACACGTCTTGAGGGCCAACGCTAGTTCTCAATTTTTGGGCCTTGGGTTGACCCGAACGCAAGAGCCCACGATTCGTTTTGATTCCGCACGTGCACTCTAGCACGTCGCAAGCTTCTTGTGCCCCCAAGCTTCTTGGGCCCCAATTCTCAAGCTATATAATTTCTTACCAACAAGGTCTAATTTCTGTACCAGTGGTTACAGCGTATGCTTCAGTCCCAGTAACAGTGATTGTGAGCAAGCTTATTTTGTACATTCGGGGCGTTGAAATGATTTCGACTGATAACACGCACGTTAGCAGTCGAAAAGCGTCATATATCGAAATCGAGATGCGAAAATCTTCCTGAGGGGCATGCTTTTTTCGGCAAAACAAGCGCACCTTTTAACGTTGTCAGCATGTCTGTTAGCCTACGCATGCTCCTGAGAGCCCCACTTCAGAGACCGCGACCACCGCAAGGTGTCACGCCGCAAAGAAAGGCCGCCTGCTCCCGCGCCGTATACAGACGTGGATACGGCTGTAAGGACAGTAGACTGGACGTACTTGTTTCTCAGGCAGTGAATGACCGAGTCCGGCTCCGAGTAGAGAGTGACGTCAGCTGAGCGGCAGCCGACGATGGCGGCTACATCGTTGCCTTTGGAGACGCTTCGGTGAACCGGGTCGCTGAAGTCAGGCGTGCCCATGGCGCCGCTCATGGTGATGGCCCTGTGGAACAGGCCGCGGCTCATCGGTGACAGAATGTGCGCATGAACGCTCATCGCGCCTGCACTCTCGCCCATCAGGGTGACGCGTGACGGGTCTCCGCCGAAGCTACGGATGTTCTTCTTGATCCACCTGCAGGGAGTGGCACAAACTCAGGTCAAGACAAAAAAAAAAAAACGCGTTCACTTATCAGAATAATATCTAAATCACCTCTAGGACCAGGCTGAGAGGTTCACACACAATGAAATATATAAGCATCTAAAAATTCTGCGTATCTGCAGCATCGATGCCCCACAACGAACCCCATCGAAAAGCAATTCGTTACGTATAACGCTAAAGGCGTTCAATTACTCTAAAATTTCAGTATAAACCGCTTATAATGTGATTCGCGGAAGTAACGCATACCGTAATTGTAAGTGGTATCGCACTTTAACCAAAGCAACCTTTTTCAATTGCCGCAATTGCGCAACACATCTTGAGCTTGCACGACCACCTGTCCAATAATCGAAGCATGCGATGCATGGTGCTTACAACGACGGAATTTTTCAAATGTTCAAAAAAACTAATGTCGAAAGACACGCGTTGCCAAGGAAATGTAAGGGGTGGGAGGAGGAGTATCTAACAAAAGAAAGCAGCATCACGAAAATTCACCGATTACTTCCCAAACCGCTTGTATGATACGCATTACACAGAAACTATGTCGATCACGTCTGGAATTTCATGCACTGAAAGACGCCAGTTGCTAGATTTCTTGGGCGCGCACCTGATTCCAAGACACCGCAATCGAATCGCCAACCACCATTCGAACGCTAAAAGTGCCGCCCTCGTTTTCATCAACAATATGTATCCCTACCCGCCCAGTGTAGCCACCGTAAAAAAAATGTGGATTCCGTGCCAAGCCACAACTTATAAAAACACGCGACTGCTACCGGAACGTAACCAACGCCGATTAGACCTATACCTGCAGTTCAGTATGTTGTTGCGAAAATTTTGTTCTAGACGTGAAGACCCGGCGTCGAAAAGACCACTCTCAAGCAGTGAACTAAGAAGAGTGTGCACGATACGAAGTTCGCGTTCGTGGCCGGGAGAACAAATACAATGAAAACCCGCCACGTCCTACGCAACACCACGCACTGGCAGCAAAGGCGAAAGCTCGCGTCGTAAAACCATAGAAGTTTTTAAATTTACGGACGAGGTAGCAAACGCGATATCTGTAGCAAGCTCGATAGCGTCGGCGCATTTTCCGACAGAAAACTTGTTAAGCGCAGTTCGTAAGAACGGAATCGCACGTGCACTGCTGAGCCGCGCGCAGTCGGCGCCACTGCTAGCTGGTGCGTACACTTGAGCCGCGTTGGCACCGGTGCCGTCAACCTCGGCGAGCCCACGCAGCGTGCTGAGGTCTTATTGGGGACGAAGCTCCTTACGCTGTGGTTCAGTCCCTCCTCCGTTGTAGCATGTTGTAGTACCCACCCTTTAATTTTTACAATGTCCACGAGATGGCGCTGGCTTTTGCAGTAGTTGGTGGTTCCCTAAGTATTACGGCTAGGTGGCGTTAGCCTGCCGCCCGATCTAAAGGGTACAGCCACATCAATCAATCCATCCATCCACCCGTGAAGTGATCACTAGATGGCGTGGAAGCGTGGGGTGCGGTCAGTTCAGTTGGGACTGGCATGGTGGATGGACGTGTTTTGCGAAGTCTCCCGATCGATTGCGCAGATTAGAGTTTTCACATGTTTCGAGCTTGCTTTTATAATAAATAAGGCAGCAGTATAGACGTTTAGAGCACTCATTACATGTTACGGCTTTTGGGGGGGTCAGACACCTGGTATTTACTTGTTTATGTGTGTGTGTGTTTTTTTTTTCTCTCCTATCACCTTTCGATAGGGGTGCACGTACACCCAACACGCAAAATTCGGTAGTAGAACTTACTTTTTTGCTTAGGGCAGGGTTCGTCGTACGCTGCATTCTGTAATTATCAGATGGGCCAATTTAGCAGGGCAATTGGTGTGAAAAAAATTAATAAAAAAACTTTAAAATGTTCATGGTGCTGGGTGGGTTTGAAAATGGAGGTCAGTGTGGACGCGAATGCAGAGAAGGTTGACTCCAAGTGTAGGCAGTATGAGGTCAAGAAAAAAACTGGGAAAATGATGGTTGCCCAGAGTGAACTGGTGATAAGCGTCGCCGAGCTGAAGACTGTGTTGGCGACAGAGAAGAAAAAACAAGGGCCATGAAGAAAGGCTTAGGTCAACCGAGGAGCTACTAGCGAAGGTGAACAAAAGAGTGGCCGATGAAGAGCACGGAAAGACGCCGGTACCCAGAACAGCAAAAGAAAAACGAAAACAGGCCCGGAAGAAACAGGTCCAACCTGGTTCAATAGTCACAAGACCCAGCTTCAGCGGCGAAGTAACGGGGGAGGGAGGGGACCAAGCAGCTGGCGGTACAAGCGCAAGTAACCTCCAGATGCGGCACACTCAATTAGATAATTCGCAGCATGTCATAATCGCCGGGAACTCGAATTTCAGTCGATACACAGAAGTAATCATCGAGAGGGTTACAGGTGACAAGAGGGTTTCGGTAAGGTCGTTCTCGGGCCATAAGATAGAAACAGTCACGAGGCAAGCGAGCGCAAACGTGCACTACTAAAGCTAATGGACGAAACCTCGTGATAATTGCGGGCCGTCTAAACGATGTCCTTAACTGAGAATCGGCAGGGCTAGCGATCTTACTGGCGAAAGGGGTCGATGACATGCGTGCCATTACCCCTCAGGCACAGGTACTGATTTGCATAATACCAGAGATACTGGTGGATGATGGCAACCTGCAAACAGCGGTTGTCGACAGAAACAAAGATATATGGCAGATGAGTCGAAAGAAAGGCTTTGAGGCAGTGGAAATAAACAGAGAGGTGCATAGGTGGGGTGGTTTTCAACGAGACAGAATTCACTTCGAAGAAGGCTAGGTCATGAGGTGGGTTGGTGGCTTGCAGGACGCGCAGTAGCTTTTTTTGGAGGGCACGGGGGCCCTTCGGGGTCCAGAATAGCCAGTAACAAGGAAAAGAGTCAGGGGTACTCTTAGACAGGTGGTACAGACAGATATGATTCCAAATTCACATCGATATTTAAGACACGTAGAGTCTGGGGAAGAAGGCGCCATAGACACGAGGGTCGCGCGAGTTCAGACGTAGGGAATATTAAAATGCAGGGTGGGAGAAATTGGTTGAAGTTGGGAGCGATAGAAGAAAAGCTAAAATATGAGATGCTGACGGTATATGGGTTTGTAGGAACATATCTTAGGGACATGGAACAACCACCTAGAAATTTACATTACGCATGGAAATATTGTAATAGAACAGAACGCAACAGAAAGCAGAAAGGGGTGGTATTGGGGAACTTATTCATAAGAGTACAGACTAGGAGAGGGTCAAGCAGGAGTGCAGGGAACATTCATGGCTAAAAGGAAAAGGGGCAGGGCAGATGACGCTCCTAGGTTCTGAATGCTTATGAACAGGTGCAAAAGCAGAGAGGAAAAACAAGAAATGGTGCAGTGAATACAAAATGACATTGATGGAGTAGAAGAGCAGTGCGAGTGATGACAAACGTATCAAGCTGAGTTTTGGAAGAGGAATAAAAATGAGATGGAGACATTATGAGCAACCACATGGTAATATTTATTCAGAAAGGCAAATAGAAATTGCAAGTAAAGAGATTGAAAAAAGAATCAACGAAGATACTAAAACAGAATGCACGTACATAAATCTAACTCCATTGTTTGGGTTATTTATTTATATGGTACGAGTCAAATTAACCGGGAAAAGGAGACAAAGCCAAGAGCTGGTGGGATAAAAAAGTGAGGACAGCCACAGTACGACATCAGGAAGCCTCTAGGGAACACAGGTGTGCTAAACGGGGGGGGAGGGGGGAGAAGGGAAGCGTCCGCATTCATCAGTGAAAACATTAGAAGGGGCAGAATGGATAGCGGAAGTAAACAAAAAAATAGAAAAGCCGTTGAAAGTTATGAAACTATCTAAATTCTTTGAGTAATCAGACAAGCATGGAACAGAGGTTTAAAACTACAGTTCAAGGAGTTAGACTAGAAGGGTATGAGGCAATGGAATATATTAGAACAATGCTGACAGAAAATTTCAAACACCAAGAAAGTGCTGCACGCACCACACCGGATGAGGATGGACCAATTAGCGCAGTGGCTTCACTACCACGAAAGTGGGAAAGGGCAATCATTTCCTCCAGACGTCGTGATCACTCGTTTTTGTTACTTGTAACTTTCTAAAGAATGTATTTTTGTATTTTGTTTTTGTTGACGTGTATTTTGTATACTGCTTTGTGTTTTTTCACGATATGTTTCTTGGTGTCTTGTTTGTTTTTTCTGTTTTAGGAAATGAGTATTTCCTAAAACAGAAAAACAGAAATGAGTATTGTTTTTTCTGTTTTAGGAAATGAGTTTGTGGTGTTGCCAAAGCAATAAATTAGGCATATTCTTTTATGATGCTATTTTCTGTGTTTTGCAAGGCAAATGCGCCTGTATTTCACATTGCGAAATAATTTGTTTACAGCATTATATGTACCAATATGTTACACCTGTACAGTGTTGATTGCTCATTTTTGTCGTATACATGTTTGTATGCTTCGCTCGGATGTATTACGCAAATGCTTCCTTTTTTTAAGGCAAATACGCCAACATTTTTTGCATCTTTTGAAATAGATTTTTTGTTGTTGTTGTTTAAGCATTAGATGTTTCGTTTTATCACACATGTACAGTGATGATTTCTTTCTTGTCATAGACCTGTTTATTTTACGCGTATGATCCCGAGTGTTTTTATGAAAGTGTTACTGCTGCTGCAATGTGTTCGGGGAGGGGGAAGGGGGGCCTGCGGCCTTGTCAAGCTGGCATCACGCCAGCTTTTTCTGCAGGTCTCCTGCATCATGTATCCTTGATGCGAAATAAAGTCATTGTTATTATTATTATTATTATTATTATTATTATTAAGAGGGTTCCTGATAGCTAGCACATCAACAGGCCTTATCGGCATCCCAATTATCCTAATAAAGAACTAGAGCTTAGGCGGTACTTTGGGCCAGTTGGTTGGGGTTCATCGTGTACTTGTTAACAGCGCA